GCCTTAGCGGTCGTTTAAGGTAGCGCGTGCCGACCTATACGTGCATTTTAACTTCGGTAGTAATTCGCGGCGCATCCGCTGGGGAGACGGGGGGGGGGGGGGGGGAGGGGGGAGGGGGGCACGCCTGTAACCTCTTCACCTGTATCTGTTTCGGCACCAAAATGGCCGATTAAAGCCAAAATAGAAGTAACGTGCTGTTCCTCCAGTGGCCGCTGCGGGAGAAATGGCGGCGTTGTGTTTGCCATTAGCTCGGTTCTGGCGGACAGATTGGGGCCACTTTTTCAGAGCAGTCTCTGTGGCTGTTTCCCAGCTCTTTATCAGTATCGGCTCTTCAATACGGGAAGGAAGGAAGGAAGGAAGGAAGGAAGGAAGGAAGGAAGGAAGGAAGGAAGGAAGGAAGGAAGGAAGGGGGGGGGGGGGGCGTGCTATAGCAATGCGGAGCATCTGCAGAAGCAAGAAAGACAACAAATACTACCTGGTAACACTGGATTAGTACCTGCTTGTGCATGCACATAATCAAAATAAAGTATAGCCAAAGATTGAGCTCAATTTGCGGTAATATTTTAGTACACTCCACTGCTTATGTGTGGGTGAAAGAATACGGAGCTCGAGCGTCAGCTTCTCCTTGTTTAGAATAATTCCCCAAGTTAAATATATATATATATATATATATATATATATATATATATATATATATATATATATATATATATATATATATATATATATATATATATGTATATATATATATATAATGATAGCTGTAGCTTTATTTTTTCACCGAGTTTCACGGCTAGAACAATTATTCAGACCGCAAGTGACCATGTTATAATTTGACTGACCGGACAAACTACAACGCGAACGTTACCGTAACGCACATAAAACAGCGTAACAGCAAAGAATGCTACCAACATGAATTTAGGCGAGTCCTGGCGATATTTCCAAACGAGAGGTTGGGTTGCATCATGACCCCACGCAAGAACCCTATATGACGAGGAGGACAAAATATAGGTGAATATTTGTCACAAATATTTGAACAATTAGCTAGAATGTGTAATTTACTTTTTGATTTGTGAAAATATACATATTGTTCCAATAGTAAACTTGTTGAGCGTCATCCAAATAAACTAAATAAATATATTTGAGAAAGATCTCTGCGCTTGGGATCCAAGGTATTGCGTTAAAGGGACACAGCAGAAATGAAGTAATGTTTCGCACACGCGACACGTATATGTTTAAGAACAAGTACAACCAAAAGTATTTTGTTAAGAATATTTACGCCGCTAGACGCAATCGACCATATGCAAAATTGTACGAACGTCTGGGCTTGGATGCACGCCATAGACGCACATCGGAAACTTCGCTTTTCTGACCCTACAGTTCTCGAGCGCGACGGCCTTTGGTGTCCACCCTGGCTCCTCGGGCGCCAATCTGCCTGGACCAAGAGATTCTTTCCGCATGAAAGGCGTCCCCTTTATCGGAGTTTCCAGTAAAACTAGGCAGGAAATTGGGCCCGGCAACTGAGGCTTTCTTCGTGTCTGTTATCAACCAGCTTCGCCTCTGTCTTTCCGTAACAGTCACGTCGACACCTGCACCATCATAATGACCTAGAAACATGGGCCCCTCCCCGTGGATCGTCAGTGGGCATGGATGCAGTCCAAAGATCGTAAACTTCGTTCTTGTAACGCTATAAGTTGGCAATCAAGACGGTTTCTATTGTTTCAAGTTGAACTATCTCTGTATTGTACTGCTTCCGTGCACAGAAGCTTCGCTGAGTTCGTTTAGAGTGTTGTTGCTGTTACTTGATAGTGTAGGGACTAACCCCGCTCCACCTAATGCCGAACTGGCTAAGCAACTAAATAGAATGACGTGGTTGTTGCAAGATACAAACGTGCGCAATCAGAGAGTTGAACAAGGGCAAAACAACGTACTGACCTCGATTAAGGAACTAAAATCAAATCATGAACAACAAAAAGTCACGGTTGCAAATATCGATACGAGGGTATCTACTATCGAATTGAAGGCAGCTTCAATCGACGAATTT